TTTCTCAGCAACGGATCTCTTCATCACCCGAAAAAGCCGCTAAGAAATCCAGCCCCTGGATTTCTTAGCAAAGGAGCCCTTTATCGCCCAAAAAGGCCGCGAAGAAATTCAGCCCCTGGATTTCTCAGCAACGGAGCCCTTCATCACCCGAAAAAGCCGCTAAGAAATCCAGCCCCTGGATTTCTTAGCAAAGGAGCCCTTCATCACCCGAAAAAGGCCGCTAAGAAATGCAGGGAGCCCTTCAGCGGTGTGACACCCGCGCCTGAAACCAGGAATCATTGGTTCAATTCTTTGCGTGCGGAGGTGGTCTTATTCCTCGCGCAAGCAACAAAGTTGGCTATGAAATTGGGCGAAAAATCCAGGGGTGCAGTTACAACATGCTTGATTTGGGAATCTCAGCCCCTCAACTTCTTATACAATGATTTCTTCTACAGTGCTTGCACTGCAAATTAAGTCTGCCTGGTAAAAGTCAGCAAATGGAACCCTTTCAACTGTTCCTGGTTCGAATGCAGAATTACTGGGTCCCAAACAAAAAACACGTTACTTTGGGGGTGCGCTTAGCAGCTTCCAGAGGGTGTTTTGAGGATGTGACTTTCATGGACCCTGTTTCTCCCAGCATGCACCACTTCCATGACCCTGTACCCAAGGTTCTATTTGCATTACCCCATGTTTAGAGTGTCGTGGAGACTTCGGCTAAACGCTTATATGAAGTTTGACTTTAGTTGCAGCAACAACTGAACCAGGACAACAAAGGTCAGCAAGTTTGAACGTTTGGCTGTGGACAAGTCAGCAAACGGTCAGCCGTGATCGGCAGATGGATCACGACTGGCTGCGTGTGCTTTCGGTGCAGACGTACAAGAAGATGAGTTGTGAGTTGCAGTCAGATATTCTAACCATCTTCTGACTGGTTGAGCAACTCATGTTGACCCGGATGAATCAACCGTCCTATTGATAGGGAGGGTCACCCACAAAAGTGATGAATTGCTAGTCTGACAGGGGACACCCGCCTATTACCAGGGGCTCAGCATTCCTGGGTTAACATGGATCAGTTGCTAGCTGCTGCAGAACAGGCGGGTACTCTTGGCTGTATCGGGGGCAAGGGACACCTTTGATGAATCCAATGGGCCAATGGGTATTTTCTTTAGAGGATACCCCTTTTTCCGTGGTTTCAAAGGGAGACCAAACAAAACAAAGATTAGGGTACCTTAAAGAAACACACAGACACACACACACACATATATATATATAATATATCTATAGAATTTCGTACAGGGAATTGCCATGGCAGGAGCCCAAAGTGCCAGACAGCGGACTCGGTAGGCGATGGCTGCGAGTGCGCGCCCCGTGCCGCCAACGAGCCGAGGGCTGGATGGCCAGCAATGAGGCGGTCGCGCAGAAAGCGGTCGGCGTTCCGTGCGGGAGTTCAAGACGTGATTCCAATAGCTACGGCGCAGGTGGCCAACAGAAAAAAGCTAATGTTTTAAATAGCCAATAGCCAACAAACATACCAGGAGCCAATAGCCAACACGAAAACAAAAAGACCTTTTAGCAATTAAACCAAATGTGAAATGTTTGGTTGTCGGCGTCCAGGATCCGCTTGGGAGGGTTGGAGAGAAAAGGCAAACACCCGGCAAGTTCCCCATCTTGAAACGGAACTTGTCAAGCAAGAGCCCCGCGTCTGACCGGGATTGGTGAAATGAGCTTGCATGAGCTTGCCTGGTTCCCACTTCTGAAGTGATGGCGAATCAAGAAATGCCCCAGAGTTCTGATGACTCCTTGATGGGGGTCATACTCATGAAAGCGAAGCGTTTCCGAGTGATCTGATCCTTGGGTTCCTTGTTGATTTGCCGAAGAGTTAGATGCGCGAGCCTTGTTTGGCTGTCTCTAGGGAAACTGGGGCATCCTGATAAAGCTTTTGCAATTCAGCCTGTAAGGGTTGTCCTTGTATTGTAACTTGTCCAAAGCCGAACATTTCAATGCCTCACAAATCCGGGATTTAGAACCAGCATGTGTTTTGAACTTGGAGATCACGAACTGTCTCTCCAAGAGCTACGTTATGGTTTCTCCCGGTTGCCCACTGTGCACATTGAATATTCAATTCTGCTGCCTTCCACCATCCAACAGGGGTTCCCGAAGCTTTATTTTTGTTGGCCCTTGAAAGGGCGGGGGGGTGCAAAAAAGACCGGGCAATACGGTTCCACCTTCTGGGCGAGCCCATGTTGTCCATCCCTGCGAACCAATTTGGTGCAGACAGACGCTATTGCCTCCTTGTGCTTACGTTTGGAGGCAAAACCGCGGTGACACATATGTTTGCAACACAAACAAATCTCACAAGAGGCCTGGCGGCCGGCAGCCGTGGTGAGGGTTGCTTAGTTGGGGGAGTCCGTACTCTGTGCATGACTTCTTTCATTTATGTGCAGGCGGCGTGGAAATTTGTTTGTGGTGAGTTGAGGTTGGGAAACTCCAAGCTACCGCACAGGCACCTGTCCGAACCATGGCCTTGTTTCCTCGCTGCTCTCACCTGCGACCGAACCAACACTTTCAGTGGCAATCCATTCCAAGTTGCCACACTTCGGGAGTTGGGACCTGTCAGGTGTTACCTCGCCGAAATTTGCCAAGAATGGGCCAGAATTCATTTTAAGTCTGGGGCAAAATCTCAAGGCAATTCAATACCGCCAAAAGCTGAGGCGGTTTCCTGAGTCTCCACAACCTTTGAGGGGCATAGGATGGAAAGGAACAAATATTGATTCGCATTCGGATCCACAAGGCTCCGAATTGTGGTGCCTGTTATCTTGAGTTGCCAGGTACTTCTCAAAATCGGGGACGGTTTAGGTGTGTCTTCTTTAGGAGACCCCGCCAAAACGGTGGTTGTTTTTTGTGGTTTCCCCTTGCAACCACAAAAAAAGGGTAGCCTCAAAGCAAGACATACGCACTTCCTGAGTTCCCTTTTGGCCCTACTCCGCCCCTACCCCCCCCCCAAAACGCTTTGGGATCCAGCCTTTGAAACCACTTGCTCGAGGTCAGCCACGCCCTGGCGGTGCACATCCGGCGCACAGACAAGCTCGAGCAATGCAGGCCTGGAGACCTCACTCCTCAAAATCGGGGGCTTCCCTTTGGGAGGGAAAAGGACCCCCCCGCCGGGAATTGGTCCCTTTTGAGAAAAAAGTCAACTTAACACAGGCGAAACAGTTTCTAACATTCGGGTGATGTTTTGTAATTAGTTTTTGTTCCCCAAACATATCTAGTACTGATCATGTTCAAGCTAAGACCTCCCACCTTTTGGCAAGAGTCCAAAAGGCACATGCCACTTGAAGAACAACTTTTGAGCAAATGCTGATACCCACTTGCAGTATTTCAGGAGCCAGAGTTACTTTGCCGAGGAAACCGTAGACATAGAGGTAGAACAGCTCAGGGAAACTGTAATGGAACTGCAACTCGGACTCCGTTCTCCATCGCCCACCCTCGGACCTTTGGGGATGCTTTGATCCAAATGTCAGTTAGCTGAATTCAAGCATCATGCTCTGGAGGCCTGCGAGAAAGCTCTGGTCTGCTACAATGGTTCAGGTTCAACTGTACCGGCATACCGTACCCTGAAAACAACACTTTTTCCCGCGCAGATGCAATTACCAACTTGACAGAGCCTGCTCCATGTGTTTTGCCGAAACAGTTGTTTTCCCCCAGCTGTTTGTGTTGTGCATTATTGTGCCAGTGTGTGCGCAAGCGTCTCTGTGATGGGTCTGTGTGTGTGTGGGTGTGTGTTTGTGTTCAACTCCACTGATGGAGCGTCGCTTTGTTGTGTGCCCAAATTATGTAATTTGGGATAGGATGCCTGTATCATGCCTGTATCGTGCCAGTCGTTCCCCCACCCAAATTGTTTTTTTGGGGGGACCCCTTGACTCTGTTGGTCGTAGCCCTCAGGCGTATCACATAAGCTCCTTTCAGAAGCCTTATGTTTCCTGAGTCTTTCATTTGGAAGGTGTCAGGGCAAGCCAAAGGTGATGATCTTCTTTTGGCTCGATCCATTGTTAGGATTCCAAACGGATAACCCTTTGTGATCCATTGAGAGTGTGTTTGCGAAAGCTTAACCCTTCATACCTCTCATTGTTTCCAGGCTCTCGTTTTGGGAGACCGGTGGCATAGCATTCGCCTTGCCCCTCTCTCGATATGGAACCCTGGGAAGCATCCATGCCACTAAGCCACTAAGGCCTTAGGCCTCAAAAAGGTCTTGGGAGGAACAGCCCCTTGGCGATTCCTGCGGGGTGTCCTTTGCTTGGGTTTCCATGGAACCCTTGGAAGGAAGCTGATCGATTACACGTACCTTGGCAATCGTTTGTTCTCCCACAGCCGAGAACCCCGGCGGGATCTTTGCCAAGAGGTACCAACCACTGGCCAGTTGCCGATTCCATCCCCGAAGTAGCAGGCAGACGTTACCTATTTGGAGGGGTCTGAGTCAAGAGCTCGCCCCCCCAAAGAGTTCCCCAACCATTCAAGCCTTATGTAGCATTACTTGGCCATATTTCCTGTAACAATTTTACGAATCAGGCTCACTGAGCCCCAACCCTTTTGGGGGCGAGTTCTTTGGTGGGGGGGTTGGCGCGATCCCTGAAATTTCCGCCTGACACACGCAGCTATGGCTCAATGCTGGCTATCCACGGTGAGCGACATGAGTGAGGCAATGAAGACAATGCAATCATGACAATAATTGAGGACAATGTGAACGGAGGCCATTCAGTTGCTTCTGTTTGCGGTAATTGTGGCCACGCAGCGCTTTGATTGCTTACCACTTACTAAGTGCCGTGCCTCCTGAGTGCATGAAGCTTATTTTGTGTGTGTGTGTGTGTCTAACATTGGAGCAATTTTCTTTTGAACGTCCAAGGTACGTCTGAAAGGGGAGGCTCATATAAACACTCCCATGACATCCGCAAATGTCGAATACACTCAATTCCCTTTTTTCTGCTGGATCAACTGGAAATGTGGTTTTCTTTTAAGGCAGCTGCTTTGTTGGGGGTACCCTCCGTCGCTCCCCGTTTGGTTTCGGTTTGCCCAAGGCACCCGCCTTGTGGCAAGAGGTCGGCGTTCAGGGCAGCCATGGGCTGCGGCGCCAGCGCGGCTTCCGAGCAGCCGGCGGCACGTCAAACGGCCGCTGAGCTGCCGTACTGGCCCCTGGAGGCGCGAAAGATCGCGAGCTTGAGCCGGGGGAGGGTTAGGCGGTTGCGGGGAAGGGGGGGGGGAGGGGAGGGTTGCAATGGAGGGTTTGGGCGCTTTGGAAGCCCAAAGCCCAGGCGCCAGACCTCAGCCGGGAGGTTCCGCCGCCACAGCGCCTGGCAAAGCTGCTCGAGAACAGGCGGACGGTGCATTCGAGCGTGTGGTCTATTGGGGAAGGCTCTCTATTGCAGAGTCCCAGCATCTTGCGGGTTCTGAGGCAGTCAGATGGAGTGACCTTCAGCTTGAACTGCACCATTCTTTATTTCTGGGCCTGCGGCCTCTAGCCGGCTACGCCTCTTTGAAGTTATACCATGTCATGTCATGTTTTTTGTATGAGAAACGTATGCTGTGCTGTGATATGGCTGGTTAGGTTATGCATGTTGCCCACCCCAACCCCAGATGATGCCGCGGATGCCGGCTTGGGCCCCAGCCGGGCCCCAACCCAGAAGGCTGACATGGGGTCGCGCGCGCGCGAGAGGCCCCCGAAACAGCAGCCCAAAAAGAACAGCCCGCAAGCCAGCCCGGAAACGCAAATGCAACAAAACACCGTAAATAGCAGCGTTTTGTGGCTGGGGTCGCGGGCGCGCGCGCGCCAGAAGGCTCAAAAACCAACGCGAAAAAAGCAAGGACCGCGCAGCACGCGAGCCAGCCATAGCAAAAGCAAAACGGACAGAACAACAGCCCAACGCTCAGCACGCAGTTTTTGGCGGTATTTACAGCGTTTTGTAGAGCGAGGACCCAGCATCGCCGGCATGCCCGGCAGCGCTTGGCGCCAAAATGCGCAAAAATGAGCCTCGCTTATATCCCTCCGATACCTTCTAAAAGACAGTGCTTCATGGGTTGAGAGGCTTTTTGGAAGGAAGTCTTGATGATGCAGACCAAGCCCCGCTGAAGCATTACCCAGGCCAACCCCAGACGCTGACGATGTCAGCCACATGGCCTAAACCCTGCATATACGCGATGTTTTGCAAGGGTTTCCCACAGGCAAGCAAAACCGCAAGCCCAAGCTGGTGACGCAGAGGTGCCGGATTTAGGCAGCGCACAAGTGGCGAGGGTCGGCGGCACCAGGGTGCAGTCCCTATAGCTAAAGCTAGCAGGCTAATTGCCTAGTGGCGACATGCTATTAACCAAGCTCCCGCCTGCTGCCGCCGACCCTGGGCGCATTAAGGGAAAAGTCATCTGAAACACGGGTGCCAGTCCGCAAACGCAGGGACCACTTATCAGATCCTCTGCGACCACAAGGATTAACGGAAAAGTCAGAAAGATGGCAGCTTGTCCGTTAATTACCGCGTGGGCCGGCTCGCGCCCCAGTCACTTCGAGCCCGGGACCTTGGCCTCTCCCGGGGGTCGTCCAGAAACTGGCCCTCCCGAAACTGCGGTTTGAATCGACGTATGGGACTCTCTTGCAGAATAGATCCAGGGATCCTCTACTACCACAAGGATTAATGGACAAGTCAGAAAGATGGCAGCTCGTCCGTCAATTAGCGCATGGGCCGGTTCACTCGGAGTTGGCCCGGGAGCGGCCCTAGAAACAAGGCGAAACTGCCCCTGAAACGGGTCCTGAAACACGGGTGCCTGTCCGGAAACAGGTGTCTGAATCGACATATTGGAGGAAACAGGTGTGTGGAGCGGCGAGGTCCCAGGACTGGTCCCAGACCGGTTTTGGCTGACCACACCACGGTCTCAGGACCAGTCCCAGGACCAGTCCCAGGACCGGTCCCAGGACTGAAAATCCACTTTTTGTGCTTTCAGGCGTGTCCCCCAAAGACCCAACAATTCATCATGGATTCCAATCAGTTCATTCCAGTTGCATCCCACGCCGGTCCCGTGAAACCTACGCTGATCCTCTTATCAGGCCTGCAGAACCCAAAGCTTATTTGGAGTACCTTCCTTGGTAGCAGCGGGGGCTTCCACTAGATGTCACATGAAATTGGAGGTCATGTTGTTTGTTTCCGTGTGTTGCATGTTTGGCTGGAAGACTCAAATGGAAGTGAGGGGCGGACTAAAAAGCACACCCTTCCTCAACGTAGGCATAGGTTCGTCAGCTTTCGGTCAACCGGAGGTGAGGCTACAGCCCAAAGGTCACCTCAAGCGACAGAAAACTGAGATACAGAATTGGAACTCGGGTTGACTGAGGGGCAGCCCCACTTTCAATAAATCAAGGGCGCCCACATTTGTGTTGAAGGAAACACCCTCTATGAATCTGCAGGGTTGATTCATCTCAGGTCCGCATTGGTGTGATTACATGCAATGCATGCATGTATTGCAGTTCAATTCATGAGATTTGAAAAATGGGACAGGCATTGCCCCCAATTCTTATGTACATTGCCCCCTTAGTCAAATTTAGTTTCAAGCAGATTCCAGGCGCAACCAAAGGAGCATCACCTTTTCGTGTAGCTGGTATTGTGGATAACTCCTTTGGGCCGGTAAAGGAGAAGCACAAGGGACAACTACCCATCTAGGCTCGGCAAATTCGAACGAGCTCACCAGGTAAAACGAGCTCACACATGCTAAAACGAGCTCACGCATGAAGGCCTTTGGCTTGGGGATCCCTCAAGGGCTCCCTCTGTATTTCCATTAAAAGGTGGTTTTGAACATCACCTTTTTGGCCCATGAAAGGTGAGTGGTGATGTTTCAAGGGGAAATATCGGGAGCCATGTTTTCTTTTTTATGAACTATAGCTTGCTGAGACCTAGGGGGACACCACCGGGTTCCATTTGGCTCCCCAAAAAAATCCTTCTCGCAGGTCCTACTTGGAGCGCGAGGAGCACGTGCTCAACAGCTTCGTGGTGCGCTGCCGGGAGACCGATGAAAACACCGACCAGGCGTCACCCAGTGGTGCCCTCGTTTTGTTTGGAAGGAGGGTTCCCCCCCAAAAGAATAAATGCCATTTTTTCTCCATGGCGTTTGGGGGTCTGGGTTGGGACGCTGTAGGGTAGATGTTTGTGCGGGGAAACGAGGGAGAACCCACCATTGGTGGAATTTTAAGGTCGGTTTGGTTGGAAATAGATGGCACTGGTTTCAGTTTGAGATCATCATTGACCAGTGCCATCGTCAAAATTCCGGTTCCTCTGCTTGGGGTTGGTAAGGATGATCAACTCCTTAATACAGATTATAGACAACCTTGGGTTGGATTCCGTTTTCAGGGGAACCACGACCATGACCCACACGATGAGCCCTTTTGGCCATTGTGTCCCATTGTGGTAGGCTTTTTCAGGGGCTTTTGGAATGCACCGTGCTGACAGAATATTGGGGAATTCTTGAGCCACCAGGCGTCAAGTAGTCATATCCCAACTGGCTGCTTTCTGATTGGTTTTGCAGGCCGTGGTTGCAGCTTTCGTGGTTGGTTCGGGTCGGTTCAGCTCAACTCATTCCCTGAGAACCAGCAAGCTTTCCGGTCAAGAAACAAAATTGTTCGGATGTATGCTGTAAGGAACCCCGTAGCTTGGTTGCCTGGGTATGTTGATTTTGGGGGACCCTTTGGTGGTCATGTAGGTGGGAATCATCATTTACCACCCATTTGAGAGCTGTTCCCGAGGAAAATCTACAGCCATACATACCTTTTGCAATTCCCTGTTAGTCTATTTGTAGTCAAGCTTGTGTTTCCAGGCCCTTTTTGGGAAACCACCTTGTTCGGTTCACCTGTCTTTTGGGCTCAAGCAGGTATCCCTCATTTTGGGTCGGTTTTCCTGTTGGTTTCCCCTCAAAACCTCAAACAAACAGTCGCCAACTCCAACAAAAAGACGAGCCACCTGCCACCCCAAAAGGGTTTCTGGGGGGCCGGAACCTCTTCTGGCGCGCCAGGAAGCCTGTTGGTTTTTCCGGTAACAGAAAAGAGGCACGGCAGCTCCCGAAGAAAAAAGGAGCGGTGCACCGAGCGGTGCACCGAGCAGTCGAGTCGCAGGCCCACGACTTGTTGGACCACTTGGCCCTGGAGTTGGCCTCCGAGCAGCGCATCGCCTGCGCCGCCTTCGCTCGCTTCGACAAGAACCGGTTCCTTAGCTGCCGTCAGCGGAGGGCGTCCCTTTTGGGAGGTTGGTGCCACCTGTTTGGGTGGGGTTTAAAGGAAGACGAACAGGAGTCAACTGGTTTTAGGCGCTCAACTGTGTTCCGTTTCTTTTGGAGGGGCGTTCCCTTAAAGACAACTTTTGATCGACTGGTGTTTCCTCTTGTCAACTTGGGGCCAATACAAAGAGCGACGACCTTTCAACTTTGGCGTAACAAATCGTCCAGTTGTTCCAACTCTCATTTCGTTTTTTTGGGGAAAGGGTTTAGAAATCAGGACCAAAGGTGGCACCCTTTCGATTTCTCCCTTCCAATACCCCAGAAGAACAAGTGGGTGTCTCAACACTAGGAACCCCTTCAAGCGGTTGAAGAACCATCGAACAAGGGGGTCTCCTATGTTGAGATGTCGCCCATATCAATTAGCAATAAAAGGTGCCGGTTCCTTTGATTGCTCCACGAGATGCGAATCTGAGGAATGGGTTCCTGCAGGTTGCGGAGATCGAGCCCCTCGGGATTGGGTTTTGGGTGCTCTGGTGGGGGGGGGTTCGGAGGTTTGACCCGCACGCTTTGGGCCTGTCTGTTTTTGGGAGTTCATCGTTGTGATGTTTGAAGGGAACACAAACAACCCTGCGGCTGAGAATCCAGACCTCCATTGGGGCATGTGTTTTCTGCCCAACAGCTGAAAGCTATGGGGTCTCTCAGACAAGCTCTGAGGTGGTTTGGGTA